ATCACAAGAACGGTGAGCAAAAATCCCAGAACCACACGGGGGGACCTAGTCAATGACCTGCAGAGAGCTGGGACCAAAGTAACAAAGGCTACCATCAGTAACACACTACGCCGCCAGGGACTCAAATCCTGCAGTGCCAGACGTGTCCAGTACATGTCCAAGCCAGTCTGAAGTTTGCTAGAGAGCATTTAGATGATCCAGAAGAGGATTGGGAGAATGTCATAGGAACAAAGGAAAGAATGAATGGGGCCATGTATCGTGAGATTTTGAGTGACAACCTCCTTCCATCAGCAAGGGCATTGAAGATGAAACGTGGCTGGGTCTTTCAGCATGACAATGATCCCAAACACACCGCCCGGGCAACGAAGGAGTGAGAAGAATTTCAAGGTCCTGGAGTGGCCTAGCCAGTCTCCAGATCTCAACCCCATAGAAAATCTTTGGAGGGAGTTGAAAGTCTGTGTTGCCCAGCGACAGCCCCAAAACATCACTGCTCTAGAGGAGATCTGCATGGAGGAATGGGCCAAAATACCAGCAACAGTGTGAAAACCTTGTGAAGACTTACAGAAAACTTTTGACCTCTGTCATTGCCAACAAAGGGTATATAACAAAGTAATGAGATTAACTTTTGTTATTGACCAAATACTTATTTTCCACCATAATTTGCAAATAAATTCTTTAAAAATCAGACAGTGATTTTCTGGATTTTTCTTTCTCTTTTTGTCTCTCATAGTTGAGGTATACCTAGGGTGAAAATTACAGGCCTCTCTCATCTTTTTAAGTGGGAGAACTTGCACAATTGGTGGCTGACTAAATACTTTTTTGCCCCACTGTATGTATGTATGTATTGAGTTTACACCATAGACTGTTAAATCACGACATCTATAAATTTGTGCATGCCACATATCACTTGTGTTAACTAAACACAAGACGTATAGATAAACACAAAAACAAACATCCATATCTGCCATTTAGAGCACAGATGATTATCAGAAAAAGTTGACATCTCCAGACTGCGCAGTGTCTACTGGTCTGCTGTGGTTCTGTCTGTCAGTGACCGACTGGACTGATCACATGTGCTCCAACACAAAGCACATTGCGTCCTCCTCCACCTCTGTCTGACGGCAGTGGAGAAGAGTAGAGTACCATCGCATGACTGAGAGAAGCCAGCTGTACTTTGCTCCAAGTCATCGATGGTATAGCCCACGATTGGCGACAGAAGAGCGCGACTGTAACCGTTTCTAGTGCCTCGTTGTTGTCCTTACCACACAGGCAAATAACCGTAACCAAAGCAACACAAAGGGGGACACAAAGGGAAAAGGTTCCTCTGCAACTTCTAAGCAAGAATATCGATCCGCTGGTTATACCACACCTCAGGATGGGAGGAAACGTGTATCGTGGACTTATTGTCACTTAATTAACAACTGCATACTAGCTGTAATACTTATATAAAACACGCGACAAATAAGAGCTATTGATGCAAGCGGTCCCATCAGGAGACAGCACATGCAGCAGCAGCCCCCGCAAATGGATGGTAGCTAGCATTAGCATGTTAGCTAACCGACCAACAGGCACAACACGTCTCCAGTCACCGCACTTTCATATCAAATTAAAATAAACAATACCAAACAACGTTATAAAGTGCCAGTGAAAACAACATACACAACGCCAAAAACTATGTCATGCTTCAGGACTCGGTGAAAGTAATTAATACATGTACAACATTACACACACACAAAACATGCACACACAAACAAAATAGCTAACGTTACCTGAAAGCTGGGTCATCTTTGTTACATCTCGGGGGCGGCGACGAAAACGCATTTTTCTTGTTGAAAAGTTTCTGGAAGAGAGTCGGAGGCATTTTGTACCAAAATTAATTCGGTACAGAAAGTCTCTTTTCTTTTCAAATCCGAGAGCAAATCTTGTTCCTTGTAACTGTCTCCATGGGTGTCACAGTCATATGACAGGCATTAGTCACGGGAGCTGCTTGGTAACTAAATGCATTTTTTTCGATTGGCTGACTGGACGTTGCTGCTACAACAAATTACCTGATTGGCTGCTATTTTTATCCCGATACCACGTGGTCAGTGGATTCGCTGTGTTGATGTTTTGTCGGGAATCGTGACAGCGTGCATGTATTCCATGTATTCGCAAAAATAATACAAGTGCGACTTCTGAGATGCTTACGAGATAGAAGATATTTGAAAGTGTCACATGAGAAAAAGTTAAATGGAAAGGCAAGGATTGTGTTCCACAAACAAAGGGGATCCAACAAGAATCATTACCATTTATTACTTTATTGTACATTCATTTAGTTTTGAAATGTTTTGACGATCGGAAATTAGTAGGCCTACATTAGCAGGGAGTCCTTGAAAATATAGACGACCAAAAAGTCAAATTAGCTTACATTTAAGCTCTTTGCTTACATTACAATTTTCGATGCAATTATGGCACAAACAAATAGAGTAAAGAATTAATAACACAAAAATGCAACAAAAACAACATATATATTTTAAATGATAGAACAATATAACAGGAGAGGTGAAAAGGCGCCGTAAAAAAAATACAGGTCTGACATCTAGTGGTCACTTTGTACAGACATTTCTCTGACAACTGTAGAAAACAAAAGGTAACCAGAGGTACATGTCAAGGTTTGTAGGATACAGTAACAAGGTAATAAAAGGACAAGGTTGAGAAGAAAGGCAAGTTAAAAAGTCACACTCAAAATATATGATGTGCAAGCACTTAAATACATGGCAGGGCATGCCTTTTTAATTATTCTCTTTAAATAAAGAATGCATCACATTTAAATGATCATTTGAGACATTATGACAGCCTCATACACTGACATCAGATTACTCTTTTACAGGATAGTTAACATACATACCTCTATACATCTTGATTCTGGGAAAAAGACAAAATCTTAACATACATTAATTTGCCTTAAGAAGTCACAAAAAAGAAGGTTCTACATAGGAGGCGGAGCTGTGAGAGGAAATAAAGGAGCACTTCTGAGTTTGGCACCACGTATTCTCATTATATCAAAGAATGCATCACTGTCACTGTCGTCGACAAAGTCAAAGAACTTTGATTCCCGGCTTATTATTACAGGCCTTTTCGACCTCACCTTCAGCTTTAATGCTTTTTCTTTATAACTGAAGTTACCAGCTGAGGATGTGTCCGTTTCATTCGGCTCAGAAGTGCTTGATGTGTGGGCTGGTTCATTGTTGCGGTAAATGGTTAATTTGGTGCCTGGGATGTATTTTGCTTCCAAGGTGTCCAGAATGATGGGGCTTTTGAACGAGACCTTCTTCTTGTATGAAATGGTCATCCTGTTGGTGAGCTAAAGGAGCAAGAATCATACGTTACCATGACCATAATACTTATTATTTATAAAAATTGGTTGTGAATATCAGATATTGATTACACAGGATACAACCAAGTGACTTCTTACTTTTGGGGGGGGTTTCAACTCCAAAGCCTTCTCTACAAATTGAGGATTTAAAAATATATAGTTTATTATTTGGCACATAATGACATTAAATAGTTTGATTAGGATACACGTCTCACTTAATGAGTCTTAACCTGATTTAAATGAGTCCACATGTTTTCTGGTCTCAGCTTCAGGTCTTCCATGTTGGCTTCAAAGATAAAAACAGTGATTGATCAAATTTTGGTTACATGGATGTTGAGTATGCAGAATGATACCTTTCTTTGTTAGTGTTCTAAAGTATCAGCAGACAATGTATTTAGCTGTATACAAACAAAAATAGCTTAAAAATGTATAACTTTAAAAAAGAAAGGAACTCACTTGATCCCACAGTTCTTTTCGTCAACAATCTCAGAGACATCTGCAGACAGAATATTTTTAAAAACTAAAAGTATTTTCAAGCTAACACTAAGCTTTACATTTTTTTTTAAATACACTATATGTATTTATTTCAATCCATCTTATTCTCAATATCATAAGTTAATAAACCCTTTTTTTTCTTTTTTTAAATCACTAAACTTCAAACATTTGTACTACAATAACTAAATATCCTACCAAATTAAATGAAAAAGAAACGTTTTTTCAAACCATTACCGATGATGCTAGAAAGGTTTAGGGGCTGATGCATGTGTACGGTCTCAGCGTTGCTCACATTAAGCAAGGTGGAGTTTTTTATGTTAAGATGAAGCCCAAGCCCCTCCTTAATAGGAAAGGTTGATGTCTCCACTGGGAAAAGAAGACAAATTAAGTGACAAGAAGGTTGAAAAATAAATAAAATAATAAATAACCTTATATTTTGCTTGTGGATCAACAAAAATGCACACATACCATATATATCTCTTCTAAAGGTCTCCGGGGAGGGAAGACTGCTGAAAGATGATGCAAAGGAGCAGTCTTCGTCCTCATCATCATCATCATCATCATCATCATCATCATCATCAGCGTTACAGATGAAAGGAGTGTCTGACTCCATGCTAGATGACATGACACTTTCAGATGTTACTGTCATGTTTTGCTCTTCATCGTTAACTAGCATGTCACCACCTTTAGCGGCCTCTATCCTGGGAGTGGTTTGAATTGTTTGGTGACCTGATGCTGACACTCTGTAACTAGATCTCCTAGAAGCTGGCACGGCATGCGTTTTGTTGCTGGAGTTTTCAGTAGATGGAGGCCTGCTCAAGCATAACCCAGATTTTTTTTGGACAGTCTTAATGTGTCTCTGTGTGTGGAAAGGATAAGAGTGGACAATTAGGAGAAGTGGGGGAAAAGTTTGAGAAACTATCAACTTGAATTAAATAATTAAAATAAAAATTACAGCAAAATTAATGTCCCCATTATGTACCCTTTATCCAAAAGTCCAATAGAGAAAAATGTGTTCTATGCATGTGATGTTATTATTAAGAAGAGAATAGTTTGACATCCATACATCAAATGTATAAGGATATATATCGCCTTACAGTGGGGGTATACTCACAAACACTGGTTTGGTTGGTTTGACAGCGGGAACATGCATCTCTTCCACCCCAGGCTCCTCTGCAAAAGCTTCATATTTCTTGTTTGGCAGAAGTCTCTTGTGCTCTGAAAGTTTTTTAAAATGGGATAGCAGCTAGATGTAGCTCATTTACCTGCGTTTACCATGACATATACACAGAGCAGGAAGAAGTACTCAGATTTATTACGTAAGTAAATGTAGCAATACTACATTTTAAAAGTACTTTGTTAAAAGTAAAAGTCCTGCATTCAAAATCTTGCTAAAGTAAAAGTATAAAAGTATATTGGCATAAAAATAAATGGGTACCAAAAGCAAAAATACTCCTCATGCGTAATGGCCCATTTCAAAATTGTATATTGAGTTGGGTTACTATTATGATTATTGATGGATTTTTATCACAGCTGGTAAATGTAGATGTATTTTATTATCTTTATATATTGCTTCTGGGTATCTTAACCTAAACTGTAAATATATAATTGTCAACGTTTATTTGATTATTGATTTATATTTTTAATTAGCTATATCTAAAAAGTTACTAGTATCTTAAAGCTGTCAAATAAATGTAGTGTAGTAAAAAGTATAATATTGGCTTCTAAAATGGAGTGGAGTTGAAGTAGCATGAACTTAGAATACTTGGGTAGAGTACAAATCCTTCAAAATGGTACTTCAGTACTGTACTTGAGTAAATGTACTTTTTTACTATCCACCACTATACATTTCTCCTAGTGCATTGACTTCAAGTCTTCATGTTGAACATAATGAGATTTAAGTAGGCCTTGTTCGACTCAAAAGAAAGACATAAATAAAAGGCATCAAACTGATGTTGATCTTTACATTACAATTAAATAGGCTTCTTGCCAAATAAGTCAGCTGGTCACAGGAGCTTCCAATTAAACTGATCGATAGCCTATATCAAAGTTGTGGTTCAAACCTGTGCATACCATAGCGAAGTTAAATTAAAACCTCTATTACAATGTACGTTTAAGATGATGTGTTAGATTTCTTACTTTCTCGTTTGTTCCGCACGGGTGTATCTGGTTTGTTTGGTATTCCACTGGCACGCCTCACTCGACCCATTTCCGAACTAAATTGTAGTCCAAATTACGATCCAATGATCTGTCAGTATACATCAACTATCTCAACGTTAGATGAGCTGTTGCTAACTAAATTCGTTTTTAATTTCGTAAAGCTTACGGTTAAAAGTCTTCCTGGATGCTAATAACTGAAACTTTCCCCTGCTCTTTGTGCGACGCTTAGCAACCGAGAACACCTGTAGTCAATCAGCTGATGATTCTGTTAAATCCCCCCAACGCACACTACAATCTATCTTAATGTGAAAACAAATCATTAAATTACAAACATGAACACAATTAGCCTACTTTATTTTGAAAATGTTCAACGGAAGTTTTACTACATGATCTTTGATATCAGATAATAGCCTAGCTTCTCCGGACCCGGTGGAATACGGGGGTAGACTAGGCTACTGCACATTATATTTTCTACTTAGCTTTATACTTGATGTAGGCCTACACTTGGTGATGTTTGTGCTACTCAAATACTTTTAATTATTTTCATACTTAATTTCACAGGGACATTTTGTAATTTTTACTAACTTATGTTAGTCGTTTGAAAAAAAAGAATACTTTTATTTGTGCTCCTTTCAGGACATTTAGTTGATAATACGTTAATGAATGTATGCTTTTTTACTTGTAGTGGAGTGTTTTTCATGATGGTATTGGTTTGCTACTTGGTTAACAATTTAAGTTGGCTACCTCTTTTAAGAGCAGCAGTCCAATAAGTTCCTAATTCATGTTGGCCTCTCCAGGGAAACTATTCAAAATAAAACGTAATGCAATGACAATTGAAGATACCATGAAAAAAGAAACAAGACACTTGTTTAAAATCATTCCAGAATATCTTTTTTATTTCATTGCCCTTGTCCTATTCCCCACCCACCCTCATCCCTATTGCTGCACTCAATCGTTACAAGGATATGGTGCTGATTCCATTTTACAGCAGAATAGATAAATAAATAAGTACAATTCATCTCACTACACGCAAAAAGAGAGAAAAAAATCCATTCAAACCATTGATTTAATAAATATGCTTACATCTAGCTGTCCTCATTTATGTACATCCACATTGTTTATGCTTTGGGACGGTAATCAACTTAAAAAGTCTATACATTACTTCTATGTGTAAACCCTTCAAAAACGTGTTTATTTTTCATTAAAAGTTGATGGTTGTTCTATTTTCCTCCAGTGAGTGGAATTCATCAGCTTTGCCTACATTACAAAGCCTTGCACTAGCAGCAGTGGCTGTGGGCAGCTGCATACAACCTGCTATTAATGGCCACAAAGAAATACTCATCAGTTTCAAGTCAATGGTGCCAGCATTGCAGGGCAAACTGCATGCATTGCCCTGAGACCTGGTTTAGCATTATCTCTTTTTTGTTCTTTTACCTGACATACTATTTGCGCAAAGGTGGATGTTAAAAAAGGAGTGAATTAACAGACTGTAGAGTGTGAACCGTAATGTGTGTTACAGTGTGCCAGTCCTTCACATAAACAAGGAGCATGCATGCTAAACTGCAGACCACAGCCATGTCGAGGTGAATTAATGAGTGAGTGAGAACATGACATGAACAGCGATGTATTTTAATGTGGCTCAAACATCGAGATGGTCTACAATGGAATGGTGTAGACAGCAATGATTAGTAAGGCAGGAGCTGCTACTGTCTATACCTTGCTTTCTTAATTCTGCCCTTAAACATTAAGGTGTAGTTTTGGTCAAATTGCGCAATGTCTTGGGTAAAAGTTGAATCTCTTTTAGTGTGCCAGATCAAGGGAAATGTATCAGGCCCTGCTTAGCAGCACTGCTGTCAGCAGCTTGTTCGATTCAAGGAAAATCTACTGTGTTGGCCCACTGAGGAGGAAGTCCATTACTGTCCCACATGTGTCAGCAATACATATCCTTGAGCTACACTATACACAAAGACATCACGCTTGCTGTCGTATAACTGGATTCAGGTTGTGTTAGGCTTGTGGGTTTAAACTGATGGAGGAAAAAAATAGATTGGACAGGGTGACAAGTGGAAATGGATTGCTCAACATAAAAGTGAGGGTGAGTTTTCTGCTGCTGGGGACAGAGCCTTTGATGGTTTGTTTGGGTGGATAGCAAGAAACAAAGTATGGAATATTTAAAATGCCTAAATCAAAACCATTCAAATAAAAAAAGTGATCTACAGATCACATTTGTATTTACATTTCCTTTTTCTGTATGCATATGTGTGTCATGTTTCCCTGTCAAAAAAGAAAAAGCTCTGTTGGACATTCTCATGAAAACCAAACAAAGTGCTTTGTATTTACTGAATTACACAACCCTTTCTGTTTTGTGGTTTGCATTTTACCACAAGGAATAAAGAACAGTTAACAGATTAACACATATTCTTTCGTTTTACATATGTGTACATGTAGTTATGTCACAGCAAATCCCTAATTAAAATAGAAATACATATAACAAAGTGTATTGTATTTCTCTTTGTGTCTTGGATTTGTTTTAGTTTTTAGGCATTAAATCTTCCATAGCAGGGGCCGGTTTGGCTTGCTTTTCTCATAGCTTTTAAGCCTAAGTGGTCACATCTTTATCCCACTGAAGTCAATGGTGAAAGCAGTGCTAAGTGTAAAGATGCTTGAAGGAAAATGAGGTCTGCCGGCCTTCACATGGAGATGCTTTCATAGAGTCGGTCGATCTTCTCCTTGAAATACTCCTTCAGCTCTGGTCTCTTGGCCTTTAGTGTGGGAGTCAGGAGGCCGTTCATAATGGAAAACATCTCATTGTTGATGTAGATGTTCTTCACCTGCAAAGAAAAATGTGAAGGAATAGGAAAGAAAGTGTACAAAGATTGTTGAGAGGTTGTTATTTTTAGGAGCTGTATAGATAACACAAGTTTAGCAGAAGACCTGTGATATTGATTTATTTCCTTTTTAATATAGTGAAAAAGTACCCGCCAAACTAAAAAGGTTTTAGCAACGCCCTCTTTAATATTCATAAGGATGAAGATTTACAAATATTAGTTTACTGAGTTGAGTTGCTCAACTGGAGCAATTTGATGAATAATGTATTGCTTGTGGATCTTATAAAAACAACGCCAAACAGATCCTACTTGAAATACTTTTGGCATATACATGTAGTAAAGGATTGTGTAAATGATCATTCTGTAGCTTTAAGAAAAATAATACTGATAAAATAAAAAGGTTTTGCTATCAACCCAAACATATATCTGCCTTCCTACCTGCTCAAATGAATGGAGGCCGCTGGCCTTGCCCAGACGCACCAAGTCCTCAAGGATCGCCTTCTTCAATTCCTGTTGACAAAGTGGAAGGTTATTTTCCATAGTATTATTCAGTATTTTAGTTATCGACAGAACTTAGAAGCATTCAAGGAACATGCCACCTACCGTGTTTTTACAGAGGTCCTTATATGTGCCCAGTATGCCTTTTTTCTTGGCCCATTCAGGCATGACTTCTGGGTCAGGAACCACAACCCCCACCAAACAGGACTGGAAAGAGAAGACACAAACATAGGAGGAAGAGGTCAAAGGATATTGTATTAATTAAGCTGAAAAATGAGCACCTGATAGATGATTTTGTGCTCTATTTGTCCTGGCTTAAAAATGGAGCACAGGAACCAGGGCAAAGACGTACTTGCAGGCTCTCAGGAGCCATACATGTTATTCAGCTAATTCAAATAATTAGAATGTATAGGACTGATGGGTGTGTTTGTGTAAGTATTCTTACCTGCAGGCTATCTCCATGAATATAGAGCTGTGCCACAGGTTCGCTCCTAATGTAGATGTTCTCGATCTTCTCAGGGGAGATGTACTCGCCCTGTGCCAATTTGAAAATGTGTTTCTTCCTGTCGATGATCTTCAGTGTGCCATTCTGCAGAAGATTAGAGGTTGAATAAATGAAAAGAAGAAAAGACATGGTGGAAACATCTGGGGATTCCTTGACTATTCATTATCCAGATGTTGTGTCATTGTAAATGTTTGATGAGATACTTACAGGCAACCATTGGCCAATGTCTCCGGTGTGAAGCCAGCCGTCTGCGTCCAGCGTCTCGGCCGTCCTCTCTGGGTCTTTGAGGTAGCCCTTAAACACGTTTGGTCCCTTCACACACACCTAGATGGTAAACAAGTGGAAAAGAGTCAGGGTGTGAGGTCAAATATATAAACTGAATCTCCTGTTAAAACCCTAACACAGGTTTTTAAAGGTCAATACATTCCTATTCTTATATAAAATGTATGATTGTGGGCACTGCATGTCAACTTAAAGATAAACAATACACGCTCTAGTAATGTTTTATAATGTTTTACACTACTTATCTGGGCCTTGTTTGCAGTAACATTGCAGTATTTTTTTTTATAAAGATACAACATCTTCCAAGATCATTTTACTGACCTCTCCCTCTCCCTTAGAGGCAAAGTAGTTTTTCTCAGGAACATCTACCAGTCTGATGAGGTTACATGGCAGCGGGGCTCCGACGTGACCTATAATTCACAGGGTCAGAACAAGCAAAAAATAATTGAAAACCCATAACATTTTCATTTTGGGTTTTTTCTTAGATTCCCTTATTTGTTTCATCTTGGACTGTCAGATACCCCCTTATACTTTCCACTGTTGGAATGAATTAAATGAATTTAAAACAGAAAATAATGAGCAGACCAACAATATTGATGAATTGGACATTAAGAAATAGGTAATTCACCAGATAATTTGAAACCAAATATGGCATGAGGGATTATGCTTTACCTGCACATATTTTTTGACATTTAAAAAAAACTAATGAAGAATGAAAGATTAATCATATATTTTCAATGAAATGTAAATGCCTGATGGAATATTTGAACTGGGCAGCAGGGGGAGACACTAGACTGTATTTTGATGCGAGTCATTTCTAAATGACTGCCCTGGTTTGGTTTTGGCGAATAGGCAATGATACAAATTGCATCCATGTTTGTTTAACCCATCTTCACTCAGCAATGAGACTGCTACCAAGGAAGCATTATGGCAGCTAATAGTAAAGTTTAAATGAGGACCTTTCATACAAACGTATTTTACTATGTTAGGTTTTCTTGTACTCTGGCTTTAATAAATATATATATATATGAGATAAGAAATATTGCAATGCACTGGTTTATTTTATTTTAGCTCTAGCTTAAAACCTTTTATCGGATAACTTGATCAGACAGCAAATGAATACACACTCGTTGACT